GGCGCCCCAGGGCCAGCCGTGAGCGGGAGCCCAGCGGCCCCGCACCCATGGATGCCCGACGGGATGCAGAGCTCCTCTGAGCCGTGTTCGCCGCTGCGGCTGGCTGGAGCCTGCCCCCGAAGTGTCTTCACCCTTTCTTTACCGCCCTGCTCCCCGCCCTCGCTCAAGACCCGTGTGTTCGTCAGTCCGCTCAAGCTCCGACCGACGCACCGTCCTGTCTGCCATGCCACCGCCAAGTTGTAGAGGCGAGAGGTTGAACACATGGATTGCCGTGCCCCTCCGTACCTCGCACTGAGCTTTTGCCTTTCTTGTCTTTCTTGTGGTCTCCTTTCTCTGGTGGGTCTTATCTCACACTGTGTTTGCCTGTTTGTGTGTTGCTCTTGTTTTCTCGTTTGGTCTCCAGATCTTCATGCTGCTCGCCCAAGTGCAGCTGCTTCTGGTCGTGGCACAGATCCAGTTCTCATGGTTGTCCCATGTGGTGGAGCATCAAGTCGGTGATGATGCGTGCGTTTCTGAGTCGCATTGGATGATGCACAACTGGGAGGGAGGAGGTTACCCAGGGTTGCTGCTGCGGTGGGTGGGTGGCCCTCACAAGCGACAGAAGCCTTTGCAATACACTCTGTCACCTCTCAACGTGCCGCAGGTAGCGCGGCGAACTGCTCACGTGTAGACAGCGTGGTCGTTTCGGGTGCGCAAATGATTGTTGCTGGGATGACGTGGAGAGGACGTGCAGGTCAGTCAGGGTGCTGCACTTGCAGGGTCGGCCAAGTTAATATGCAGACACGGGGGGCAGGTCTTCTTTGGCATCACCAACGGCCGATCTTGTTACTGCATGCCTTACATGAAGGCAATGGAGGGGCCGACGGCTCTGAGGGGCGGGTGGGTCACTGAGTGAGTCAGTCAGTCGGGAGCCTCTTGCCGCATGTCGCGCGGGCAAAGTGAAGCGCAGTGTGTTTTCGTATCATACATGCAGCCTGTCCGCATCACTGTTTTCGTCGTCCGGTTGAGAGAAGGTAGTGAAGGGTTTGTGGGTACCAGCAGCGGCCAAACGATTCTATCACCACCAGTTTTCGCGGCTGCTTTGTGAGCGGGCCGGCCGGCCTGTGCCTGTTGTAGCTAATTAGCCTCGTTCGTGCCCCGGACTTTGCTTCTTGCCGCCTGACCTTTGTCTCGCGGCCGCGACCGGAAAAAGTATCCCCACCAGCTCAGCCTGCCTGCAGCCCCCGGCGCCTCTCAGCTTCCCTCGGCGGCAGCTTTGGCAGCCGTCAGTGCGTCCGCTTGGTAATTAGGCTTCGCCCGTAGCCCGGGTTGACCTTGAAGGCTGCTGTGCGCCTTCGCCTGCGGCTGCGACGAAAAAAGTATCCCCACCAGCATGGCTTGGCGCTGGATTCGCTGTGTGTCCTGCTGATGGGTCTCCTCTGCATGTTCGTGGTGTCGTGCATCTCGAATTCCGGGGCGGGGGGCGTGGAGGTCAGGATCAAGGGTCATATGACAGCATGGAGCTGAAAGGTTCCGAGCTGTGTGTGTGTGTGTTGAGGGAGAGAGATTGTGAAAAGGCATGGTGCATCTGTATGCGTCGGATTGTATGTGCATTGGTCTATGTGCCTGTTGGCATGTGCAGGGGCCATGTGTATGTGTAAATTGGTAGTTGTATTTGTGCATGCGCATTGCGGTGCGTACCTGTGTATGTGTGTATGTGTGCATGAGTGTATGTGTATCGTTCGGGCATGGCTCCGATCAGTGGCTCTGTGCGTGCGTGTTTGTGTGTTGGTGTCTGTGCGTCTGTTGTTTTCTTTAAGTTTACGCATGTCTGTGTTTACATGTGCGTGCATGTGTGCGTCTGTGTGTGCATGTGTTTGTCTCAGTGCGTCTGTGAGTGTCTGGGCGCTCCTTGAGCCCCTGATGGCTATCTCGGGGGGCATCTTCGGGTTCCTTGGGACCTCTGGGAGGCTCTTGGGTGCCTGCTGGAGACGATGCTGCTGCTGCTGATGCTGCTTTTGTTTGATCAGCTTTGGGGGTGGCCTCGTCTAGTATAGGGGACACCTGTAGCAGAGGTGGGGACTGTGCAGGAGAAGGGGCACGTCTCGCACCTGGGAGTTTGTTTAGTCAGCTTGGGGAGGTTGTTTTTTTCAATAGTGGGTGCCTCGCATGAGAAGGGGCACGCCTAGCACCAATGAGCGTATTCTCGTCAGCTTGCGGAGTTGCCTGTTCTACTCGAGGGGGCTGCGCAGCAGACAGGTCTTGCGAAGGGGGAGGGGCATGCCCAGCACCAAGGAGTTGGTTTTAACTCAGATTGGGGAGTGGCCTTGCCTAATTGAGGAGTCCTCGCAGCAAATGGGGGCCTTTGTAGGAGGAAGGGCCTCGTGTAGCACTGAGGAGCTTTTCTGAATCAGCTTGGGAGGGTGCTGCACAGCAGAGGGGGCCTGGGAAGGGGGAGGGACATGTCTAACACCAAGGAGCTTTCTTCATGAGCTTGGGGAGTGGCCTCGCCTAGTAGAGGGGGGCTGTGTAGCGAAGGGGGCCTGTGTGGGAGGAGGGACGCGCCGTGCACGTCTAGCACCTCGGAGTTTTTTGCATCCGTTTGTGGATGGGGCCTCGTCTAATAGAGGGAGCCTGTGTAGACGCGGGTTCGGTGAGGAGGGAGGGGCACGTCTAGCACCAATGATCTTGCTTTCACTCAGCTTGGGGAGGGGCCTTGTCTAATGGAGGGTGCCGTGATGGGTGCGGCGAACGTCTAGCACCAAGGCCACACAGCTTGTGGTGGCTACGTCTCATAGCAGGTGCTGCACAACGAAGGGTTCTGATAACCGTGAGCGGCACGCCTAGCACCAAGGAGTTTGTTTTTAACCAGCTTGGGGAGGGGGTCTGTCTAATAGAGGGGACCTGTGTCGGAGGAGGGGCAAGCCTTGCATGAGGAGCATGCCTCGAGATTTTTCGTATCGGCTTGTGGAAGGGCATTGTCTCACAGAAGGTGCCGTGCAGGAGGATGGGCGCGTCTAGCAAGTAGAAGTGTTATTCAAGTCAGTTTTGGGAGGGGCAGTGTCTAATAGAGAGCCCTGTGCAGCAAAGGGGCCTGCGAAGGGGCAGGGGCTCGTCTAGGACCGCTGAGGCGTTTTTCCTTTTTCATAGGTGTCGGGAGGGGCGCCGTGAAGAAGGAGGGGCTCCTTCCTCCTCTTCAGCCTCCTTGCCCTCCTCCGCTTGTCCTCCTCCGCCTCCTCTGTCCTCCTCCATTTCATCTTCTCTCGCTTCTCCTTATCCATGTCCTCCTTGTCATCGCCATCACCAGCATCAGCATCGGAATCAGCATCGACAGCATCGTTATCAGCCGCCCACTCATCAATCCATCCCTGTCCTCCCACCTCGTCGTCCTCGTCGTTCTCTTCCGCCTCGTCCCCCCTCGCTCCTTCTCCGTCACCCCTTCTTCATTCCTCTTCCCCTTTCCTCTCACCCCGTTATCCCCCTCCGTCCTCTTCCGCCATCCCCTGTCTCGCTTCTACCCCGCCCCCTCTTCGCTCCCCGCCCATTCCCGGCGGCGCCCGTTGGTCAGTTGCTGTTCCTGCTGCGGCTGCCTCATCCTCTGTCCTCCACCTCCTCCATCTTCCTTTTTCTCTCTCCTCCTCCCTCCCTCCTTTCCTTGTCCCCTTCTCCTTCCATCTCCGTCCTCCACGTCCTCCTCACCCTCTCTCCAACTCCCCTCCGCCTCCCCTCTGTTCTGCCGGGCGGCAAAGTGGCAGGAGAATGCGGGCGAGAGGAGGGCGGATAGAAAGAGACAGAGAGAACGATATATACATAAGTATAACGATGCATCTATACACACATATATATATATATACATATGTATAACAAGTCATATGTACACGTGCGTATTTGCACACCTGGTACACGGGCAGCATTGTACATGTTCGTGTATACCCGGCATACGCCTGCACTTATACATAAGCATATGCAGACGACATGCATACACACATTTATGTGTATGCATGTACGTATTGACACATGTCGGTGCATGAAGATGAACACCTGCGTCCATGTGTGTGCGTTGGCATGCGACCATCCATGACTAGCTTATATACGCACACGCTAGCTCGCACTTACATGCGCCCATGCGCATAGGGTTCCATGTATCAGTACATTTACACACCTGCAAGTGCGTGTACATACATACCACCGTATACACATTGGTTCACGTGCGTAGATATACGTATGCATACTTACCTGCGTATATATATATATATGCATGTATGCATACGCGTACATGCACATGGTACACACATATACAGTCGGATGTCAAACTACTTAGGTGCTTTGCATGTTTCCAATGTGTGCATATAAACGCATGTGTTAATCCATGCACATCTTCACACATGTGTATGTACACATGTGCACATCTACACTATGTACGTATACATGTTTATATATATATCGTCTATGTACACGTCTTTGCATACACGTATACAGCCAGCGTCAAACAGTACCTGTCCACGCACCTGTCGGGGGGTGGCGCGCTTAGAGAGGCTGGTGTCCGTGGGACCCCCAGTTTCTCTGCCTAGTTGCTGACGCAAGCTTTTTTTTGCAGGCGAGAGTGCGCCATGGACCGGGCGGGTGCAGGCGAGCGACAGCAGCCTGTGCGACGCCGTGTGCGAGGGCGACACCTCGACCACGTGCGGGCTCGCCCACGGGGGGCGGGTACTGCGGAGTGAGGTGGTCGCGTTCGGGAGGAGGAGGAGGAGGAGGAAGAGAGGGAAGGAGAGGGGGAGGAGGATGAGGATGAGGAGGAGGATAGGAGTAAGGAGGAGGAGGAGGCGAGGAGGAGGAGGAGGAAGGAGAGGAGGAGGAGGGGGGAGGAGGAGGGAGGAGGAGGAGGAGGAGGAGGAGGAGGAGGAGGAGGAGGAGGAGCGCACCATGGTCTGCTGATTTTCTGGCGCCGCTTCCGAGCTGAGGCCGGGGCGGGCGAGCCTCCTGTGCGCCGGGTCCGTGTCGCATCGGCGTGGCTGGAACGTCAGCGCGGGCGTTCAAGGGTGCACGCGGCCACTGGCCTCGAGTCGTCTGGTTGGGCCGATGTCGAACGATATGCGCCATCGGAAAGCTTCGATCGTGCAAGGGTGAAAGGTCCATGCGGTTCCAGAAACCAACGCGCAAGGCGTCACGACTCGAACCTGCTGCAGGAGGAAGGGGCGGAGGAGGAAGGGAGGAGGGAAGAGGGAGGGAGGGAGGGAGGGAGACAGAGGGGTCTCGAGGACCGAGTCTCCAGTCGAGCTCCTCGCGGGCAGGTCTTCAGCACGGATAGCGCCTCTTCAGCGAAGGCTCGCATGGGCAGCTTTCCGAGGTCCCGCTTGGAGATGTACCCGAAGGATCGTCTGCTCCTGGGGCCGTCGCGGCCTCCTGGCAAAGACGATCGCAGACTCGTCGCCCCGTGCCCAGTGCCTCCTGGCCGCCACAGCTTTGTGTCCTCCTCTGTGGGCCGCAGGGGGTGCTGGAAAAGTACTAGTCGGTTGTTGAAAGTACGTATTTTTGGAGCCTCTGATTCCAACTCATTGTAGACGCGTTCCTACTTTCATGATTGGGTGGGCTCCCCTTTTCTTTCATCCTTCGGTGGTGTGCGGAAGCCCAATCTACTGCCAACGCAGTCCTACTTCATGCTTCCACCCACTTCTTTCGACCGACGGGCAGATTCGGGGACGACCAAGAGGGATATGATGACCAGGGGTGGTGGTTGGACATCATTGCTGCGGCCATCAGTTATTCCTGATGTAATGGCTCCTTCTTTTTGTTTCGGCACTCCCTAATTGGACATCTCTCAGAGGGAGGAGGAGAAGAGTGAGGGGGAGGAGCAGGTGGAGGAGGAGGAGGAGGCAAGGAGGAGGAGGAGGAGGCAAGGAGGAGGAGGAGGAGGCAAGGAGGAGGAGGCAAGGAGGAGGAAGACGAGGAGGAGGAAGTGGATGAGCAGGAGTCAAGGTGGAGGAGGAGGACGAGGAGGAAGAGGAGGAGGAGGAGGAGGCAAGGACAAGGATGAGGATGAGGATGGGGCTGGTTATGATGCTGAGTGCGATGATGATGCTGATGCTGACACTGATGCTGATGATGCTGCTGCTGATGATGAGGATGCTGTTGATGATGAGGCTGCTGATGCTGCTGCTGATGAGGATGATGATGCTGATGAGGATGATGACTACGATTATGGTGATGCCGTTGCTGCTGTTGATGATGCTGCTGCTGATGATGACAATGATGCAGATGATGCTGCTAATGCTGATCCTGGAGCTAATTTTGCTGGTGCTAGTAATGCTTCTGCTGATGATGATGATGCTGCTGACGATGATGATGATGCTGATGCTGATGCTGCTGCTGATGATGCTGTTGCTGCTGATGATGATGACGACGCTGATGAAATGCGGATGCTGATGACGATGCTGATGATGATGAGGATGATGCTGAGGATGATGCGGTTGCTGTTGATGATGATGAGGCTCCGGATGCTGATTATGATGATGATGCTGATGATGATGCTGATGCTGATGCAGATGATGCTAATTATGCCAATGATGCTGATGCTGCTGCTGATGATGCTGATGACAGTGGATCTGCTGATGATGATGACGCGTATGGTGCTGCTGCTGCTGATGATGATGATGCTGATGCTGATGCTGATGGTGATGATGCTGATGCTGATGATGCTGATGACAAGGATGATGGTGCTGCTGATGGTGCTGATGCTGATGGTGATTATGCTGCTGATGACGTTGCTGATGATGCCGATCATGCTGCTGATGCTGATGCTGCTGATGATGCTGCTGCTGGTGATGATGATGCTGATCATGATGACGTTGATGATGATGATGCTGATGATGATGATGATGATGATGATGATGATGATGGCGACGATGATGCTGCTCCTGATGCTGATTATGCTGATGGTGAGGATGATGCTGATGATGATGATGATGATGCTCATGCTGCTGCTGCTTATGATGATGATACTGATGCAGATGCTGCTGATGATAATGCTGATGATGATGCTGATGCTGATGATGATGATGATGCTGATGGTGATGCTGCTGATGATGATGATGATGATGGGGAAGAGGGGGAAGACGAGGCTAAGTAGGAGGAGGACGCAGAGGTTGCAACGAGTAGTAGTAGTGCTAGTAGAAGTAGTAGTTGTAGTAGTAGTAGTAGTAGTAGTAGTAGTAGTAGTAGTAGTAGTAGTAGTAGCAGTAGCAGTAGTAGTAGTTTTAGTAGTAGTAGTATTAGTAATAGTAGTCGTAGTACTACTATTCGTAATAGTAGTAGTAGTAGTAGTAGTAGCAACAATCGTAACAGTATTAGCAGTAGTAGTAGTAGTAGTAGTAGTAGTAGTAGTAGTAGTAGTAGTAGTAGTAGTAGTAGTAGTAGTAGTAGTATTAGTAGCCGTAGTAGTAGTAGTAGGTAGTAGTATTAGTAGTAGTAGTAGTAGTAGTAGTAGTAGTTAGTCAGTAATTAGTCGTGGTGGTTAAGTAGTGGTTCTTTTGTTAGTGTAGTAGTAGTTCGTATTAGTATTAGTGGCAGTTAGTGTATTTATAATAGTAGTGTTGTAGTAGTAGTAGTAGTAGTTAGTTGTAGTTAGTAGTAGTCTTTTTAGCAGTAGTAGTGGTGGTGGTTTGTAGTAGTAGTAGTAGTAGTAGTAGTTTAGTGTTAGTTTTTGTAGTTAGTAGTAGTAGTAGTAGTAGTAGTAGTATTTTTAACTGTAGTAGTCAGTAGTCGTAGTAGGGGTTGATTAGTAATAGTAGTAGTTGTTGTATAGTGTAGTTAGTTGTAGTTAGTAGTTGTAGTAGTTCGTTCGTCGTCGTAGTAGTTGTAGTTAGTAGTTGTCTAGTCGTAGTTACTAGTCGTATGTAGTAGTTAGTAGTAGTTGTAGTTAGTAGTTACGTTGTAGTAGTAGTAGTAGTAGTAGTAGGCGTAGACATAGTAGTAGTAGTAGTAGTATAAGTCGTAGTCGTAGTCGTAGTCGTAGTAGTCGTAGTAGTCGTAGTAGTCTCAGTAGTCGTAGTAGCCGTAGTCGTCGTCGTCGTCGTCGTCGTCGTCGCCGTCGTCGTCGTAGTAGTAGTAGTAGTAGTAGTAGTAGTAGTAGTAGTAGTAGTAGTAGTAGTAGTAGTAGTAGTAGTACGAGGACGACGATGAGGAGGTGGACGAGGAGATGGATGCTGATGATGCTGATGATGCTGATGATGCTGCTGATGATGATGATCATGATGAGGATGCTGCTGCTGCTGCTGTTGATGATGATGATGATGATGATGATGATGATGGTGGGAGGAGGAGGAGGAGGAGGACAGATAAGCAGAGGAGGACGAGGAGGAGTTGGAGGAGTTGGATGAGGAGGAGATGGAGGAGGACGAGGAGGAAGAGGAGGAGGCGAAGGGGGGGAGGAGGAGGAGGAGGAGGAAAAAGAACAGGAGGAGGATGAGGCGGAGGAGGATGAGGAGGAGGAGGAGGATGAGGAGGAGGATGAAGAGGAGAGGAGGAAGCAGAGCAGAAGGAGGAGGAGGAGGAGGAGGAGGAGGAGGAGGAGGATGTCCCCCTCGTGGGCTTCCCTGAGGGACGGGGGCGTTATTTGGGGGTTTCAGCGCTGCCTCTTCGCGCGGGGGCCCGCCGCCTCGCCCCCCCCCGTCGGATCGCCATGGGGGAACTGGGGTCCTGAGGGAAGAAGAGGAGGAGGAAGAGGAGGAGGAGGAGGAGGAGGAGGAGGAGGAGGCGGAGGGGAGGAGGAGGAGGAGGAGGCGCAGGATGAGAAGTTGGAGGAGGAGGCGGAGGAGGCGAAGGGAGGAGGAGGAGAGGAGGAGGAGGAGGAGGAGGAGGAGGAGGCGGTGGAGGAGGAGGAGGAGGAGGAGGAGGAGGAGGAGGAGGTGGAGGAGGAGGAGGAGGAGGAGGCGGAGGAGGCGGAGGAGGGAAGCAGGTCCTCCGCCCGTCGGGAGAAGAATCTCGGAGGAGGAAAAGGTGTCCGTGCTGCTGCCCTTCCCTTGTTTTTGTGTTTGTCAGGCGATCGCAAACATGGATCAAGGGGGCGTGGATTAGTGACGGGTCCCGTCTCCAGGGAAAATCGCGGATTTCCGCCGCCGAGCGCGACCGCACCTGCCGCGTTTTGGGGAGGGCACCTCCCCCGATCCATGGATTTGGCGACCGCGCGCCAAATCCATGGATCGCTAATCCATGTTTGCGCGCCCCCGGATGCCGCTGCCATTCCCTTGTCCTTCCTTTTGGGCCTCGTGGGAGGCCCTCGTCGCAACCGCTGGGTTCGCCTCGAGTTTCCAGAAGAATCAAGGGGGGACCGTGATCAGCCACGCGCAGAGGGGGCAGGGGGAGGGGGGAAAGCTTCTTAGAGGCACCCCTGCTTCTCAGAAGGTGCGGGCCTTGTCTGTGGATGTGAGGCCGGCGCCTTCCAAGGAGCGCCTCCTACCCCCTTCCCCTTCCCCTTGTGTGCGCGCCGCCAACTCTGGGGGCCCTCCACGGGCCCCGGGACTGTCATAAAATGACTCAGGATAAAAAGTTCGTCTTGGGGAAGGCACCAGGGTCCAGGACCTGTTTCCCGTGGAACCGTTTTCCCCATGCTAAGTCCGCTCTTCTGGGTCCCCCCCACATGGCTCGCGAGGACGGGGAGCTGTGGGCGGTGGAGCGGGGCTCACCTCGATTCCTCGGACTCGAATCGATTCGGTTTCGATAGATTCCGATGCCGACTCGATTCGGCTTCGGATGCCGATCTGGACTCCGGTTTTCTCAGCGGGGGCCCACCGGCCTGCAGATTGCTGCAGGCTCGACATCTCCCGACGTCGGCTGCCGACGTCCGCCGATCCGATTCCTGCCGATCGCCGATCCGGCTCCTCGATTCGGTTCTGGGCTCGCCTCCCCGGGTGGGGGGAACGTAAGCAAGGGCTCCCCCGAGGGCGCGAAGTTATTCGCGCTTCGCGCTTCGCGGTCCTCGTTCCTCCTCCCCCTCCTCCTCGTCCTCCTTTTCTCCCTTTGGGGG